CATGTATTGTGATAGATGGAAAGAGACTTTTTCGTGCTTCATGACCAAACTTATTATTTGCATGTCAAATTTACCCAATTTTTTTTCCCCAATGTAGTTTCAAGACAATGTGAGATGGCAACAGAAGAGCAACCTGAGTTATCCCCAATAAATCACCATTGAGAAGGAAACCTTATGGCAAACAGATTTTACCATAACTGGATTAGTTTCCCTGAAGGTTTGAAGTGAGGGTGTTTTGTGTGGGGTTTGTTATTTTGTTTGGTTTTTATTTGTTTTAATTCTTTTTAATAAAACTGTTCTATTCAAAAAGATTTTAGAAAGGGTTGATGTCAGGAAAAGAATAGACTTTGCAAATAGAAAACTCAGTGGTAATACAGCCTAGAAGGGTGAAATGTAAACTTTCTTACTGAGCTGAATACAATTTATAAATTTTGTATAGCTGGAGCTAAACTTCTTGCTGGAGTTGTTTTAAAATGTGTCTTCATAAACACTTCCCATGGAGATATTCTTTGTAAAAATAAACGTTAATAACCAGCTGACAGAGAATTTATGGAACCTTGGTCTCAACTGCCTCTTGGCCCCAGGGGATTATAGTACAGCAAACCCAAATTTATACAAAGAATGAAATATACAGTAGGGCAGGACAAAAGGAACAGGGAATGCCTTTCACTGTTTTCCTGAAATTAATATAGTGACATATTCCTGTTGCTTTCACTGCAGCAGATGCACGGACTGTAAATACTCATGTTAAATATCTCTGGGTGATCTAAATAAATCAATTTCTCCTGAAAAATGCCAGGATCTGTGCACACGGGGTAACTCCGGTGTAGGTAGGAATGGTGTTTCCTCAACTGCCTGTCAGGAATGACTTAATCCTGCTTTGCAGATACTGCCTCTGCATCCCGGGGATGTGTTAATTTCCATGCCCATTCATTTAGAGGGCTCTGCTGAGACTGTCAAAGAGATGCTAATTATCATCAGCCACGGTGATCCCTGGGGAATTATGCTGGGATTGAGGAACCAGGGAATTGCTGGAGTTACAGTCGGGGATTAAAGTGATGAGTTCTGTTCCCTCTCTGCTTTTTCCTTTCTCTGGCAGCCTGGGGGACAGCGTTCACAGGCAGTCCTGGTGCTCTCCAGGTGCCTCTCAGCCCGTTTTGTTTAATATTGGTGCTGATTTTAGGTTAAACCAGCAGCTTTATTAAAGAGCAGAATGTGGAAGTCCGGCTGATTAATTCCATGGAGCAGCACGTGCTGCCTGGAGTCAGTCAGAATTCCAGTAGGGATTTCTGCTCTGCTAACAGGAGGGCTCTGGGAGGAATTTAGGGGAGCTACAATAGTGTTAATACCTGAAAATCTGAAGAAATTCTCCTAAGTGTGATGAAAAAGCTGATTTTTCATTCAGAAGATCAATAAAAATGGTCAGAATTCTCTGCTGCTGTTGATGAAATCTCCAGGATAAGAGATAATTTTAAATGAAGGCTTTTCTTCAGGATAAATGCCTGTGTCACTTAAAACATTCCCTGTTCTGTAGCAATCTGGAAAAGCCCTTTTTTTTTTTTAAATAACTGCAAGTTCTTTATTGTGATCAAACTAAATGCATTTCATTTAGTGGTGCAGGCTGGAAATGTGAATGTTTTTTGAATCCATTTAATAATTTTTTATATCTTGACTATATAAAAGCAAGGTGAGAAGAAACAATGTCTGTGACTGAGTTTCCTGCAGGTAAAATCTGATGAATTGCAGCTTTTTTTCTTTCTTCTGGTCCATTATTCATAATTTGGACATCAGGGCTGTGTATTCTCTCCATGTGAAGTTAGATCATTGTAGACAAACAAATTCCTCAGTTTTGGAAAATTTCTGCTTGCTTTCTGCTTGCTTTGGTCCCTGTTTATATTTTTTATGGCAAAACTAATGTTTTGGTGCTGATTTTAGCCCTTTATTGCTGTACTGAGAGGATCTGGAACCTGTTTTCTCAGTGACACTCCCATGAATAATCAGGGAAGTCAAAGCTGTAGGGTTTTCCATTAGAGGTGATGGTGTTCCCAAAAGAAGATTTGAGCACAGAGTTTTTTCACACTGAAAGGTGGATACGACAGATTGGAAGGTATTTCCTTTAAAACAATTGACTTCTGTATATAAAAATAAAGCAATGCAAAAGAGTATTGCAGAATCTAACAGGACTGCCTGCCGTAATTAGTCTGCAGAAGGTAATTTTTGTAGTTTCAGAGATCTTTATGCTGTATTTCCAAATGTCTTATGAGTCCTGACATTTTTCTGTATTAAAGGCATCTTCTCCTTCCTGGTCCCCAGCATTGTGGGGCTGCATTGATTTAATTTCATCCTGTCTTTTCCAAACCAATGACAACTATCTTTAGTTTTCAGTTGCCTTCTAGAACACCCCACTGGAAAACTCCTTCAACCCAACAAATAATATCACTTTCTAAAATTACAAAAAAAAAAACCAAAAAAAAAACCCAAACCAAACCAAACCAAACCAAACCAAACCAAACAAAAACAAACAAACAAACAAACAAACAAACAAACAAAAAAATACACCAAAAAAAAACCCCATAAAACCTTCCAACCAGCAGGAGTTTTTATTTAAAGCCTTTTATCTCCTGGGCACAAATATTCCTCTAGTACTTGAACTGTGATCCCTTTCTTGCTCTCTTATCAATCTTATTTCTTGCAGTTACTCACCTGCAGGAAGTGTGTTATCTATTGGGAATATTTTCTTTTCTTAATCAATGTTTGGTGTGAAAGGTTTAATTACTGTTTTTCATCCAGCAGTATTCTTTTCTGAGTTTAGATTGCTACCATTCCTCTCAAATGTATAACAATCATTCTTATTGAATTACATAATATAAAAGTAAGAAATTTAATTTCACTATGAGTCAAGGAACTTTCCTCCCTTAAAACGTTGCTTAAATTTGGACAGAAAATATTTTCAGGATGAAAAGCTAGGCTTGTGCCTGAGACTGTCTCTCATTTTTCCAAAAGATTTTTACATTGAGCAATGAATAATATTTTGCTGAAGCTTTCTTTGGCTTCTAGTCAAGAGCTATAAATGAATTCATTAATGGGAATTATTTTTGGGTAGCAGTGGTGGGTGTGTGTTTAAAGTCCAGTGGTGATGCGTGGTACTGTGAGAGTCAAGTGTATTCCATCCTTTCTTCAGCAGTTCTGAGACTTATAGCTTACAAGAAAGAAACAAACACAAGAAAGAAACAAAAATCCCCAAGCCTGTGGTGATCAACCCTCACCCATGAGCCACTCTGCTGCTATTTGTGAGATTGAATTCTGGCCTGCCTGAATTCAATCTTTAAGCCTTTCTTTTGGTATAATTACAATAAATTATTTTTTTAGAAACAGAAGAAAATAAAGTATTTTTAGAATTAATTTTAGACACAGAAGGATTCTGTGTCTAAACAGCAAAATATGCTGGACATGAGGGCTGTGTTCACAAGTGCACATTGCACAGGTGAAAACCCAGAAACATTTCTTTATTATGCTAGGAAAATTTATGTTTTGTACATGGGGTTCACCTCTGGATCTACTTCTTGGCTGAAATAGAGGGTGTGGGAGAACAGCAAAAAGGAAGGATGGGAGTTCTGATAGTAAATTTACTCCAGTTTGTTGGGCTCTTGACAGCAAACTGTTCTGTGTGTCCTCACTATGAAGAGGCCAACTTTATAAATATATAAAATAGTGTTTGTGCAAATGTTGGACATGCTGCCACAGACAGGTAAAGGGTAACTGTCATAAATATATTTTCAGCATTTACCACTGGAAAAGTATGCATATCTGGTTAAAGTTTAGTGTGGAGACTTAGGATGTCATTTAAACCTTCTCAGCATTTATTGCAGGAATGTGTCTTGTCTGTGCTGGACTTTGGAACTTGTTAATTACCTTGTGCCTTGGAAATATGTCAGCTAATACCTGTTGTCACCCTGCAAGTATCTGCAAGTCTGTGATGTAGTGTAGTGCATGCTGGTGAATATTTAATATTATTAAATGCTAAGCTTGTGCTTCACTGAGGGCAGAGGCTCTGGGGAGCCTCTGATTAATTTATCAGTGTTCTTGGCCAGAAACACATGTTTCTTTGAGAAATGGTGAAAATGCCACTTGTGGGCTGTGTGTTCCCTCTCTGCTTCATTTTCAGGACACGTGGATAACAATTGTGAAAGGAAAGGGGGAAAAGGATTCGTTATTTACTTTCTGTGAAAAACATGTGTGTGGAATCTCAAATTATGGCATCTTTCATCCACATTAGGATTAAACCACCCTAAAATGCACAGAAACATAATAAACAGGGAAGTTATCCTAATAGCTTCAGCCTCAGTCACCACATTGTTATTGAATGTATTCCAGCTGAAATTTTTGCTGTTCTGGATATCATTGTCTTGAAAATTATAGGTAATTTACAGTTTCATTTTGAAAGCAGGCATACCAAATGAAAATACACTGCAGGATGTTGATAGCTGGAATTAAAATGTCTGCATAACTTCTGAATGCATTAATAGGGTTTTTTTGCCTTTTTTTTTTTTTATGGAGGATTTTAGCTTAAGGAAGGATCTGTTTGTCTTGACATTTGAGTCTTGAGTAGGTAATTGTCAAAGTGGAGAGGGGTTTGTTGTTTAAGTGTAGATACAGCATATTTTATGAATTTACATGGTAATTTAAAGAGGTAGATGAACCTGGACAGCTTCAGCAAGAGAGGCAGTGAAAGTCCAGACAGATCGAACATTTTAAGGCTGCTGGTCTTTCTCTCCACTGGCTACTAAGGGGTACAGAGAGAAAATTATCTTTCCAGTCTAAATTCAGTCTTTTTGAACCTGCCTTTATGTCACAAACTTCTCCCAGTTCTGAGGCCATTTTGTGACTGTAGAGATTCTCATAAGAAAGACACAGAAAAGAAATATTTTAAGGGTTGTCTTGAAACACTTCAGATGTTAGATTTCTTTTGACCTGGGTTGTTTTTTTTTTTCTCTTGGCAGCTCTGGAACGAAGGGATTCCTCCCTGCTGGGCAGCCCAGACATCGTGGACCCAGCTCCCAGGAGAAAAAGAAGGCAAAGGACAGCAAAACCTGCAGGGACAGGAGCCAAGGTGGCTGCTTACGAGGCAGAGCAGCCATCCCAGGAAAAGTAAGCAGGTTTCAATTGTATTGGAATGTTTTTATGTTCACAGACCTCATCGGGGTGGTGGGATTCCAAACCCACCATCCTGATTCTCACCACCCTGAGATTCTGCCTTTGGGATTCCAGTGCAAAGACATTACCTCTCAATTCCATCTTTAATAGATTTTTTTAAACATGAGCTCTCCAGGCAGGAAAACCTGTTTGCTCTTACAACACAAAGGGGGGCAGGATTTGTAACAGTTAAAAGTATTTTTCTTATGTCCATTTCAACCTCTGGAAATCTTTCCATGTGTTCTGGGAGGTGCTTACACCTATGCTATAAAGTTGCCTCAGAGCTGTGAAGGGATTGGTAGTGTTTTCTTCCCAAAAAAATCTTTCTTTACAAAATATATGGCAAATTACATTTGAAAATACATATTTTTAATTTTTATCTGTAATATTCCATGGATTGTAAACTCTTTCAACAGCCATGGACACAAGTAGATTACAAAGACATTTCCCATGATTAGCAAAGATTTCTGTTTAAATCAGCAGCAGAATTATCTCATTTTGATGTAAAAGTTGTGGTTTGACGCCAACTAGGAATGTTTTGAATTTACAATCCTGCTTTATTAGTTTAAAAATTGCATTTTTAGGATGGTGTAGAAATATGCCAGACCTTGCTTTTTTGTTATTTTACATCTCACTCCATTGCAATGGAAAATGCCCTTTCCCTTGTATTTGGTCAGTTTGATTTTGACAGCCTGCCTGTGCTTGCCTGAAATTCAGCTTCATTTTATTTAATGTTGATTGTAGAAGGAAAAGCTGTGGAGGAAAAGTATTGCAAATATACAGAGGCCTTGCACTGAGTAATTGTCTGTTTATGAAAATCTCAGTCCTGTGCATAGGGGGGCAACTAAGAGGATAATGACATTTTTGTTTTAATTCCTTGAAATAAGGCAAATTTTAGTAGAAACAGAGCAGCATTATGATTTTCATATGTGCAAAGAATTTCTACTCTGCTCACAGATTGAGTCAGGGCTGAATCTAAAGAGTGGCTCTTCTTATTGGCCACAACACAATTAGTTATATTTTGAGACTGGACATATGGAACATCCATTCTATATCAGTCTCTATCTCCATTTTTATTTCTTGCACTTTATGTGGCAGTGGCAATTCTTGGATTAGACAGGAAGATAGGAAATATCCCTGTTTACCTGAAACATTGCAAAAGCTGAACTGAAATTATTTCCAGTTTGCTGTTTACTTTTCTCAACATCACTGAAGTCTTTTGCCAGCTGCTAATCAAGTTTTCAGTCAATTTGCTTGGCTAATAATTTTCTGTTCTCTTCAGCCTGTCAGAAGTGGGGAGATGGAGAATTAGCCCCGTGATCCAGTTCACACATAAAGGTGTTCTTTTTGTGGAGTAATTTGTAATTACTCCAGTAATTTGTGCTGATGGAATGCCAGATCCTTGGTGCTGCAAAGGGCTTTATCTTAAGCTGACAGCACGTTGGGTTCCTGCCCAAAATGTTTTCCAGTATTGTGTCACTGAGCAAAAATCTTTAAAAAAATTAAAATTAAAACTTATTTATCCAAGAAAAGGGGTGGCAGTGGGGAAAGTTGACTTGGAAATTCCTTCACCTCTGGAAGTGCTCCATGACAAACAGGGATTTGGGGAGTGTGTTCTGGGATCAAGTGCCAGATTTGATCTGATTTCGTGATCAGGTCTGCAAATGCACCAAGGACTCCTCCTCTCCTGCTCAGACCTGCAGCAGGGCTGGCTCCTTAATGTAAATAAAAATGTAAATCCTTTGAGGCCAAGTCACACAAAACCCTTCTCCCACAGATCTTGCTGTATCAAATTGAGCTTATTTAGGGTTATTTCCCATGTGGAATTTCTGGTGACATCACCTGTGCTCTCCAGGGGAGGGAAGGGCTGCCACAAACCCAACACCTCCAGCCTGATGCTGCCCTAAAGCTGCTGCATCCTGAGTTCCTTGGTACAAGATCCTGAAATAAAAAGACTTAAAAATACCTTTTTAGCAAAGGAAAGCACCCAAGGTATTATTTTCCCTTTGCCTTCCAGATTGCTTTTTGATAATAAAGTGTTTTTCAGTGTTGTCACATCAGAAAAGTTGTGCCTTAACCTTTAAGAAAAGTTGTGTCTTAACTTTCCTATACTTCTCAAAAGACTCCACAGTATGCTAAGGAAGTAGCATTTATCCTAAACTCACGAGCATCTACAGTAAATACTGAGTCATCAAAACCTAAAGGATTCCATTTCTGCAAATATTTTAGATTTATGGATGCTGAGGCTAGTTGTGTGGCTATTCTCTGCTCCTTGGAATGAAAATATATTCTTGGGTATGACCAAAAATACTCAGAGGAATGCAAATAAAAATGTGTTTGACACAGAAATTAGGGCAAGAGGAGTGCTGCCTTTCTCATGCTTTGTGTGTGGGTGCAGTGGCAGGAAAATGAGTTGGATTGTATTTATCCATATGGACTTCTAGCATTACTGTGGCAATTTATTCAAGGGCTAAATCAACATTTTTAATGAAACTTGGCAATGTGCTTTGGATAATATTAAGCTTAGTGAAAGTAGCCATGAGAGCAGCAAGGAACTGAACTAGGATTTGTGGAACAAGGTCTCCAAGTGAACTGTTTAATTATTTGCTGAAATAAAGATGTACTTTAGGATAAAGTAGAAATGTAGAATAATTAGTGTGTTAGCCAACTGCCAAGAATGAGGTTTATCCAGCTCTCTAGCAGGTTGTTCTTAAATCAGAGATATCCAGTGGAGGGAAATGCTTCTTTGGGCAGACAGATGTTACTTTTGCTTAATAACAGCTGACCTGTGGCTCTTCATTTACACATTTTAAAAATATGTAAAGACAAAAAGTAGATCTTACTTTTCAAAACACAATTGAGCCAGGAAGTAAAATAAAATTATTCTGATTCCAGTACACCATGATGGTCTTGGTGCAGCTTTAACTCTAACTTAATATCTGGCAATTTCCTAAGGTGCAAGGCAGAGATAATATATAAGTCAAGTTAAGATGCAAATTCTGCTTTTCACAATTTGCATTTCGTAATTGGAGGAGAAAAAAAAAATATTAATAAGAGCATTCCCAATCCACGGTTAGAAGTTATGCTTATTGAGGCATGACCCAAATCTCTTTGGGGGCTGCATATGAATGGCACTATTAGCTGTGTGCAATATGCATTCAATGTAGAGGCTTAGCTGTGTGGTCTGTCAGCCTGAATCCTGTAAATAACTGGATATTTCTATAATATTTTCACTTTAAAATTGTTGGAATCTACTAGAGAGCTGACAGTACCTACTAAAAATGGCAAAAATTTTAATATAATTTTAAAAATTAAGCACAGTCATTGAACTAAACCTGCAGTCACAGACTACAGTGGAACAGAGATTGAGTCTCTATGACTAAAATAAAAATGAATCAGGAAAAAGCTTCTATTCCTAGTGCAACTTACATCTTTCCACTTTGATTTATGAAAATTGAGGGTTTTTTTAGCGAGTTAAGACTAACAAAACCTTTTTATTTCTGTCTTTCATTCTCTTGCTAATAAAGGATCTTTTATGGTATGGTCCTCATTGACACATGTGTTTCCTAGGAGAAAGGCTTTGCTGGGTAATGCTCAAAATATCTATAAGTTATTCTGTATATTTCAAAATATAATCCATTCCTGCTGCTCGAGGGTATTCATAATTTCTGTGCTATTTAATGCATGCCTGCTGTTGAGTGGATGTACAATTACAGAAGTGGTTTGGGGAAAGGCATCTTAAATACAGGAAAAACATTATTATGGATGCAAATTTGCTGGATTCTCCTGAGAACAAGACTAGAAAAATAATTTTAAGAAAAGTTCTTACAGAGGAAGTGTTCTGTAATTCTGAGTAGCAAGTGTTAAGACATACTCTTAATCCAACTGACTGAGAAATAACATGTATTTTTTCTTGTCTTTTTTTTTTTAATGAGGAATTCCCTGTTTACACCAAGCTGTGACTCTGACTTATTAGTTGTTGTGCATGCCAAAAATTTCAGTTTTATAAGTCTAGTTCAGTACATTTAATGTCACTGTTACTGCCTTTAGTTTGTTGGGTTTTTTTTAATTGAAATTTGACTTCTGCTGGCTTGGTACCTCTTGCTTGAGTGATAAAATGGAGTGACTGTCAGAATCAGCCCTAAATTTAAATTGAAGGAAAGAGATATGTTACCTCACTGTGTTTGGCTTTGCTGAAATTTAGAGATGCAGGTCAATTTGATGGGACCTTTGCCACCAGTAATTAAATGATTTCTTTTTTTACACATAAACCCTGCTCCTTCAGAGAGCTCTGGAAGGGTTCAACGTATTTTTAGGAGCTCTCAGAAACACCCCAGGAATTCAGAGAAATGCAATCAGGTTTCTGAGTGTGTGTTGGAAGGTCCAGGAGTTGCCAGGGGGAGGCTTGTGCCACCTTGCCATCCCTTGCTCCATCAGAAGGAATGTAATTTTTACTTTAAACACGATTGCCACGGCGCTCACGCTCACTGTTTGCTCCTGACTTCAGGGCCTGATTAAACTTGGTCATGTGTGTAATTGTGGGTAGAATGAGCTGCTGCATGGTTTTTACTTGTTAATGATAAATGTGGATTTTTAATTTCATTTTTTTTTGCCCAATCTTCATACTCTCCTCATTTCAAAAGGTTTTTTCCGAGTCTTTGCAGGTAGATGTAATTTATTTGGAAATAAATCCCTTAGCATTGTATCCCAATACTGTAATAAGCTGGATTGTCTTTTCTTTTGATAAACTTCCACCCCCTTAAGAGCACTGGGAGCCTGTGGTGAGCCCAGGGCTCCCTGGGGATCCTCTCTCTGCATTTGTTTAATTCACTGCTTGCGGTTCACATTTTTGGAGCTCTAATGCAAGAGTTTATTTAAAGTGTGGTCTGCCACCACCCGTGACTCAGGTAGGAGAAACCACAGATCTGTCCTGGAATCTGGCATTCCCAGAGGGTGACAAACCAGACTCTGGGTTTTCTGTCTCACACAACAACTCCTTCTTCTGGTAAAAGTTCAACCAGGCAAAAATTGTCATTTTTCTGCTGAAAATGACACCAGAACCTTCCAAAGGGAGCATGAAGTTCACACCACAGTTATCCCTTCTGAGGAAAAGATGTACCTAAGAGCTCATGACTTTTGTATTCTCCTAAGTGCATTTATTTAATACAATAGGAGAGAACTTTCCTGGTTTGGCAAACACTGTGATCTTTCAGTCAGTCAGTGCAGTGAGTGTGTACAGCAGTGAGAAGCTCAGTCCTGCCGTCATAAATTTATGGAAGGCAATGTTTACAAAGTTTTTGATGATGACTCGTTCAGGCTGAAATGTAAACAAGTTAAGAAATCTCTTAGAAGTGCATGGTTGGCTTGTATAAGCCTTTAATGTGAGTATTGCACCAAAAAAATTTAAATAGTGACTTAAGGCATCTTTGTGGTTCATGCATGCTTAGCAATTCTTTCTTTCTCTCTCTCTTTCTCTCTTTCTTTCTCTCTCTTTCTTTCTCTCTCTCTCTTTTTCTCTCTCTTTCTCTCTCTTTTTCTCTCTTTCTTTCTCCCTCTCTCTCTCTTTCTTTCTTCCTTTCTTTCTTCCTTCCTTTCTTTCTTCTTCTTCCCTGAATTCCCCTTCCCTTCCTCCTTTTTCCACCTATTTTTGCTCCATTCTCCCCTCCTTTCCCATGACACTGGCAGCAGCAGTGTGCCATCACTCACCCCAGTTTTCCCCCACCTGGGCCAACGTCAGAAATGTCCCAGCACCTTTCTGTGCCCCAGGGGAGCTTTGATAAGTGACCCTCATCACCTGAACACTCCCCTGCCACTGTTCCAGGCTGGGCTGGGAAGGAGAGCTGTGCTGTGTGACCTGTGCAAAAAAAAAAAAAAAAAATCAAGCTTTTGATGATAAAATTGCAAAAACTGAATAAGACATGAGTCACTAGGGGAAAAAAGTGGTACCAAAAAATCTAGAGTAATTCTTCATTCAGCTTGAAAGAATGAGGCAGAATAAAATGCAACAAAGCTCAGCTGTTTTTCTCCTGGTGGTGGTACCTGTGCAGTTCTTCTTTTAACTGAGCAGTAGATAATTAGGCTTCCACGTGGGAATGGGTGATTTATTTCCCTGGGAATTGGAAGGAATTGGGATCCACCATCACCATTTCTCCCAGCTCCCCAGGGAAGGGTGGGATAATGTGAGGGCAGGAAAAAAATGAGCATTGTCTGCTGACCTCAGAGGCTGCCATTTCTCCTGGGAAAAGTCTCTCAGCTCTCCAGTTTGGAGCACATCTCACAGGTTTTTGTCACTGGTAATAGCCCAATAATTGACTGCTGATGGAGGAGTTATTACTCAGTAAGACTGACAGGACTCTACCCTCTGCTGTCTCAGGGCATGTTCCTTAGGTCAGGGTTTTATTGCTGTGACAAATCTGGTGAGATATGTGTCTCCAATGATTCATCTATAATGCATTTCACTGAAATGCTTCCAGAAAATTTATTTCATATTTCAGGCTGTGAGATTACAAGGGAAGAGCTTAAAAAATGGAAATTATACCTTCTTCCTCCATTACCTTTCTGGTGAAGTTTTTTGATGCTTTTCCCTTGCCTTTTCAACAAAGGTTTTAACTGGAGTTGCTTTACCTGAGCTTTTTAAGCCCCTCTTTGGTAGGTTGTGGGTTGGGATAGTTTAATTTATCACACTGTGCATTAGTTTTGTTAAATACTGAGAACCTCGATGCGGTGTTTTAATGTGGGAGGGCAAAGAATTTCTCCTCAGAGGTAAATTACACTAAGAAGGAGGGAAGATTGTGTGTGGTTGAGGTAACCAGCAGTGCTGGAACAGTTGCTGGCTTTTGAAGTAGACCATGCTCCAACATTTCCAGCCTTTGAGGGTAAAGGGTGGGAAGCTGAGAAAAGGAGACTGTGTCAAAAGCAACAAAGAAGGCAGTATTTGAAATTCCCTGTGCATCCCTGGGTGCAGGAGCAGACGTGCACCTTCTGTGTGAGCACTTCTGCAAAGGGCTCTTGATGGTGCCATCAAACCTCAATTTCCCAAAGCAGCTCTCCAGGCAGAATTATTTTCACATTATTTGTAATAGGAAGGAGCAGGTAATGTAGGGGCCCGAGATTTTGATCAGGTGTTGGCAGGAGATTGAGATTAGGCTGATGGAAAGCCCAAGTAACCTCAGCCCTGGTGTCAAAAATAGCATGGCAGAGCATAAGAGGAAAGCTTGGCTCTGTTAATGACATAAAGCTGCCTCAAATACCTGTTTCTGTTGTTCTTTGGAGTGAACATGAAGTTTTCTTTACTGCATTGAACTGGAGTGTTCTGTATAGCAGAACTGTCTGGGAAGGCCAGTAATCCCTTAAATCACAATGGACCCCAGGAAACCTGCTGGAGAAAATGCTGTGCACAGAAATACACCAAAACTCGTGGTATGGAAAAGGATTTCACAAACTCTTGTAAATGCTGCTTGCTCTGCTGAAGTGACTGCTCAGTTCAGTGCACTTTTCAAAATTCAGATTTGGTGCATGAAGCTATTAATCTTTCTATTTTTATATATCTTCATCCTTTTTTCTTTACTTAACTTTTTACCACTTTTTTTTCCTCCCAGAAATGTCCCACCTCAGCAAAGCAGGGCTAAACAGCTAGCATTTAGATTTAGCAAGACTGTCTTGAAGGTCTTTATGCTAAAAAAGTGCTTAATCCTCTGCTTTAAATCCACAGAAATGAATGCATGGGAATTATTTTTCCAGTGGTGACTTCACTCTTCAAGCAGTGATGGCTGTGTCTAGATTGTCTGTTTTTCTTCACCTGCCTAATTTCACTGATTACTGGTGATTGTGAAGACCTAGGCCCAGCAAATGAGAAATATTTTATCAGATTTGGGTGTCCTTCTAGGCCTCTTGTGTGTGATGCATAAGGATGCTGTTGAAACTGAAAAGGATGCAGATTTTCTATTCCAGAATGTTTGAATTCTGGTGCAAAAACAGAGGAAAAGAAGGGAAAGGGCTTGTACTGATTTTGTTTTAGCCCTGTTCCTGTCTCAGAATGGCTTGGAGAAGGAGCAGGAGATGGTGTGGAGCACAGAGAAGGGTGAGAGGTGGCACTGGACACCTCTGTGAGCAGAGGCAGGAGAAGGAATGTGGTGAGAGGCACTGATGGTGCATTTGTTTTCCCATTTACCATGTCTCTGTGTCTCTCCAAAAGCAGTAAATCAAGCCCTTGACATCCATGGCAATGAATTTCTGATGATATTTAGAGCTTCCCCAGATCTGGTCAGAGTGGATAAATATTCATAAATTTATACTCTGTGACTAATAGATACAGCCTGAGCAAATGCACTTTCATGGTCGGGTGAGGGGACTCATCTGTTTCTGGCAGCCTGTGTCAGAATTCCTGTGGCATTAATCAGGACCCCTTCCTGATGAGTTCTGCCATCTGTGGCAGGGCACAGAGCACATACTCATGCATCAGCCCAAAAACTTTGAGAATTAGAGACAGAGCTGCACAAATCTGGCCTCCCCTAAAATTATTTGGCTACCTTTTGCTCTCCTTGAGCATAAATAAAAATGTCCTTATTAGGAGCTGCAGGATGTGCAGAATTAGATTAATGTGAGCCTTGTTAACACAGAATATTGCTGACACACTCCCTTGATTGCTTAATAACACTTAAAATAATTCCTTGCTTTATTCATCTGTCAAACCATTCATAACAATTGTCATGTAGCTGTTGCATCACTCAAGCTTGAACATACAACCAGCAATTTGGAACCTAATTACAAGCCTGTGTTTTCCTCAGATGGTTTTCTGCATATCAGCTGTTATAAGTGGACTGGGTGTAAAACTGAGGGAAAATGGTCAATATTCAAAAATGAGCAGTGACAGAATCAATGTTGCAATGAATCCTAAATAGCAGAAGTGAGATAAAATGAAAGGCTCTTTCCAAAATTGTTTTGATTCAAAGTACTGAGGTGAATTAAAATCTAACAGTGGTGTAGCCACTGGCATCAGTGTTTCTTCCTGTACAATTAGAATCAGCAGAGTAATAATAACTAAAAGTGAGGAAATTGGCAAGAAATGTGCAAGAAAACTCCACTGTTTGGTGAGGGTGAGTTTCATTCTAGGTCTCATGCCAGAAAGAGATGAGATTTCTCATGTGCTTCTTTAAAAGGTGTTAATTATTCAAGAGTGTAGAAATAAATATTTTATATTCCACTTATATAGATCCCCCAAGGAGTATTTGACATCAAAGTAAGAGACCTGTCTGTTAAGTAAAAAAATGGTACATCTGGCCTTGTGTTTATCTAGAAAAGATAAAGGTATTTAACTGGAGAAAATAATTTATGAGAGGGTTGTTGAAAAAGGTGCTAATTGTAGAAAAAAGGTTGAAAGAAATTTGTTTTATGTCGTGGAAGCTCACAGAGGTGTGATTTTCTAAAGACACCACAGAACACGGATAATGTTCAGTGACTTTAGCAGGAGTCTGAAAAATGGGGGGTTTTTTGTTGTATTTTTGTACATATTGACAAGTTCTCCACATAGTAATTAAAATCACCAGGTTCTGAACTATGATTTGGCCACAGGAATGATCTTTTTTCAGCACCTAGTTCATGTTGTGATCTTCCCCACTCCCCAGATTCCTGAGCAACTCAATAAAATATTTTCACAGGGGTTATTTTTTGTTCACAGAGGAAAATGGTTCATTACTCATCACCTCAGTGTTCTGCCACGACTGGCTAAACCTTGAGGTTGCACAAGTGTAAAACTGGAGTAAAGTGGTGATAAATCATTTGGTTTCTTCTGGGGATGTGAACCATCCAAGGAGTTTCTGCTTTATTCCCTTTGGAGCTGATCCTTGGGTGACTACTGAACAAAATTCTACTTTTATTAAGCTATCCTGAAAAAATATATACTTTTATAAAGAAAACCTTAAATCCTTTAGGCTAAAACTCACCCCTGAATAGGAGAACATTTCTCCAAGGAGTGAACCTCCTGGGTTTGCTGTATGTCACAAATACAAAATTATTTTTCTGTTCGAGTGCTGTGTCAGTGTCAAACTGTTCTGGAACACCAGGTTAGGAAAGAATATCTTGGTATTAAAACTCCTTTCTAGTTGTATATCTGTGTAGCTACAGCACTGACTAAAACTGTTAAATGAAAAAAAAAACAAACAAAAGAAACAGATTATACCCTGTTGTGCTGATAAAACTGCTCAGAACCTGAGCAATTGTTTCAGCTGAAGTAAAACCAGATTTGAAGACACAAAACAGAAGGTGTCCAAATAAAAATAAAACATTGTCAGGATGTGTCGAGTTGCCTGTTGACTCTTTAAGTGAATCAAAACACTTTGTGGGCTCCAAAGTGTTAAAAAGAGGCCAAACCATCAAATTTTTATCAATGTTAGTGAGAGCCAGCCTGGAGCAAAATTTGTAAGCAAAATGTCCAAACAAATTGTTCAAACCAGTATCCCCCAGTCAGTGATGGTGGTGAGGGAGAGAATCAAGGGGAAGCAAAGCATTTATTTTTTTACAGATACATGAGGTTTGTTCCTCTTCCCTTTGGGGTGAGTGTTGTCCTTTGTCCTTCCCAAATCTGGGAACACCTGGGGTTTGTTTGGGACAACAAAGCTCTGCCCATGTGCAGGTGGTGGCTGCGTGGCTAAACATAGGGAATAACACAGCAGGAGATTTGGAAAAACCATGTCAAGGCACTGGAATGAGCAGGGATGGGATTGTGAGGGCTGGAGGGTTTGGGGTGGTGTGAAATTCGGTTTTTGAGGGATGTGGTGTTGCCCAGGTGAGTCCTGATCCACTCTTTGCCCCCTGCATGCCTGGCATGCATTTACACCTTTTCTGCTCTAACTGACACCAAATCAACCATCACATCTGAGGGCAGGGGGAGGAAGGCTTGTCAGGCTGCTTGCTCAGCATGACTGGGTGCAGGATGCTGCCAGAGACCACAATCCTCCCTTCACAGCTTCTCTCCTGCAATGATTTGCAAGGTTGAGATGTTCCTGATGCTGTTGTAACCTTTCCTTGAGCTAGATTTACAGAAAAAAGGCCAGTTTTTTTTTTGTGTTACCCCGAGGCAATGTTAGCCAGACACTCCCCTTCTTCATGGTTTTGTTCACACCACTCCCAGCTCTGCACCAACTCCTGTTTCTTGACGTGTTCTCATTTTGCCAAGCTAAAAATACAAATTCATTTGTTCTGACTTTTCTGTTTCTGAGGTCCCCTTGCAAAGCCAGCCCACAACTGGGTAGATCACATTGAATATGGTGACACATGGAATTTGCAGACACCACTGGAGTTTCATGATGCAGCAACCAAA